GGTGTGACGTGGTGTGGCGTCTTGGTGGTTTGGTGGTGGGCCAGGTGCGTGCGTGCGTGATGGCTATGGTGGTGGTGGTGGTGGTGGCGGTGGTGGTGGAGTGTGTGTGTGTGTGCTTGTATGTGTGTGTGTGTGTGTGTGCGTGTGTGTTTGCGTGTGTGTCTGTGTGCGCGCGCGTGTGATGTGGTGTGACGCGGTATAGCGTGGTGGCGGTGGGTGGGGTAGTGGGGTGGTGGTGGCGGTGCGCGGTGGTGGTGCGCGTGCGTGCGTGCGTGTGTGCGTTGGTGGGTGGAAGTGGTGGTGGGCGGGGCGGGGCGCGGTGCGGTGGTGGCGGGCGGATGGGCGCGCGAGGAAGAGGCCCGCGCTGGGGCGAGAACGCCATCCTGAACGACGGAGGCAAAACACCGATCCGAAAATGAGGCCCACGCTGCAGCGGGAGCACGATTCGGAACGAGTGGAAACCCGAAAATGAGGCCGGCGCCTCAGCGAGAGCAGCATTTTGGAAAAACCCAAGCGAAAACCCAACTCCGGGAAATCCTGTGTGTAAAAAACAGTACGCAGAGGGGTGCCCGCTATCGTCCGCACGCCATCAGGGGACGGAGGAGAGTGTATTCATATTGAGTAATTGTGGAGGATGAAGGTGGGGAGGAGGAGGAGGAGGAGGAGGAGGAGGAGGAGGAGGAGGAGGAGGAGGAGGAGGAAGAGCAGGAGGACCAACGTGAACCCGAAGTGCATCAACGATGTTGCCAGCAACCCTCGCTCCAAGTTCTTCTTGCACAGGCCCTCGCAATAAGTTGTGCCCACTGTGGGACGTGGCCCATTAGAAGGCAACCGTCTGAGAATCCCCAATTGAGCCAACACGCCCGTCCTGGGACTTCACCGCAGCGGATGAACTTGATTTCTGCGTCCTGGCAACGCCAGGCCACCCTTCCTGGGACTTCAAGGGCGTGGATCAATGTGTATTTTGTGCCCTGGCAAGTTGAAACATCGCGACAACACGCCGCTCCTGGGACTTCAGCCATGCGAGTCCTTACAACTCTCACAAATCTGAATCCTTGACGCTGCTGCAAGCTCTTAAGACAAATGTGCGCGGAACTAAGGCGAGATATACATTTCGAAAGAGCGAGAGCCACATTTTGGAAAGGGCTGCCCTCCGTCCTTGAAGCTGCTGCAAGCTTTTATGATTCATGCGTGCGACGCCAAGGCGAGGGCCACATTTTGAGAAGGACTCGGCCTCCACCCGTGAACATGTTTTAAACTTTTACGGCGAATGTGCGCGGCGCCTTGGCGAGAGCCACATTTTGAACACGACCCGCCCTCCATCCGTGAGGCGCTTTCAAAAGTCAAGCTTCTGCATCAGACTGCTGAGGGAGTCCAAGGCAAAACGCTTGGCCCGCAGTACCGACACGTCTGGGCTACAGCGAGGGGTCGTTCATTGCAAAGGCCTCACGGCCGGTGCCGCCGCCGCCGACGACGACGTAGACGACGATGACGACGGCGTCTTCCACACGCCAGAAGGGTCGGTGGATATGGAAAAGGAAAGGATGCAGGAGGAGGAGAAGGCGGAGCGGGATGGAGGAGGAGGCGGAGGAGGAAGAGGATGAGAAGGAAAAGGATGAGGAGGAGGAGGAGGAAAGAGCACCAGGAGGAGGAGCAGAAGGAAGAAGCGGAGGAGGATGATGATGAGGAGGAACAGCAGGAGGAGTAGGAGGAGGAGGGAGAGGAGGAGGAGGAGGAGGAGGAGGAGGAGGAGGATAATGAGAAGCTTGAGGAGAAGTTGGAGGAGAAGGAGAGCAATGACGTAGAGGAGACAAACGAGGAGGAGCGGAATGATACCGATAATGGTGTTGATGATGATGAGGAGGAGGAGGATTCTCCTGATGATGATGCTGACGATGCTGACGATGCTGATGATGGTGATGATGATGATGATGATGATGATGATGATGATGATGATGATCATGATGATGATGATGATGATGATGATGATGATGATGATGGCGGTGATGATGGCGATTATGATGGGCACAACGATGCTGCCGCTGCGGATTATCATAACGATGCTGTTGACGATGGCAGCGTGATGATGTTGCTACTGCTGCTGCTGCTGCTGCTCATGCTGATTACGATGATGATGATGATGATGATGGTGATGCTGACGACAATGATGATGCTGATTATGATGTTGATGATTATGCTGACGACAATGATGATGACGATGATGATGATGATAATGATGCCGATACCGATGATGATGATGGTGATGATGATGATGATGATGAAGAAGATGATTATGATGATGATGATGATGATGCTGATGATGATGATGAGGATGCTTATTCTGATGCTGATGATGATGATGGTGCTGCAACTGCTGATGATGATTATACAGATGCTGATGATGCTGACTCTTATGCTTATGATTATGATGATGCGGATGGTGCCAATGATGCTGCTGATGATGATGGTGCTGTTGATGATGCTGTTGTTGATGATGATGCTGATGATGCTGGTGATGATGATGATGCTGCTGATGATGCGTATGATGATGCTGATGCTGCTGATGGTGATGTTACTGAGTATGAAGAAAGATGGCGATGCTCATGAGGAGGAGGAGGAGGAGGAGGAGGAGGAGGAGGAGGAGGAGGAGGAGGGGGAGGAGGAGGAGGAGAACGAGGAGGAGGAGGAGGAGGCGGAGGATGAGGAGGAGGAGGATGCGGGTAGAGGATAGCGAAGGTGCTGAAGTTGAGGAATGTTTGGTGTTTCCCTCGAACAGTGATGCTGGCAACATCCGCCGTTCCTTCAAGAGAGGCATCGACCCCAGCACAAATAAATTCTCCGACCGCAGCATACCATCAGGAGGGCATAGGTGCTGTGTCACCCAATGCTGTCCCCGCTCTGTCCCGCTCCGCTCTCGTCGTTCTGCTGGTGGTTTCACTTCGTGAGATCATGCAGTCAGAGGCTGAAAGGCTGAAATGAGGAGGATCAAGGATAGAGGATCGAGGATGAGGAGGAGGCTCGAGGAGAAGGAGAGGAGGAGGTGCAGGAGGCTCGATGATTAACAAGGATAGTGATCGTGGCGGAGGAGGAGGAGGAGGGGCTCATTAGGATGAGGTGGGGGAAGGCAGGAGCATCGAGGAGTGAGGACCGTTTTTGATGTTTCCCCCCATCACACCCTCCTGTGATCGTCCTTCGCTCTGAGCTGGGGATTGGTTCGGAGAGAAGGATGATGATGCTGCTGATGATGAAGATGAAGATGAAGATGAAGATGAAGCTGAAGATGAAGATGCTGATGCTGATGATGATGATGGTGGTGGTGGTGATGATGATACTGACGATGACGATGGTGGTGATGATGATGGTGCTGATGATGGTGATGCTGCTGATGATGATGATGCTGCTGCTGACGACGATGATGATGATGACGATGATGATGACGATGATGATGCTGATGCACATGCAGAGGATGATGCTGACGACGCTGCTGCTGCTGCTGATGATGATGATGATGATGCTGATGCTGATGATGATGCTGATGATGATGATGATGATGATGATGATGATGATGATGATGATGATGATGATGATGATGATGATGACGGGGATGATGATGATGATGTTGATGATGCTGATGATGATGGTGCTGCTGATGATGATGAGGAGGAGGAGGAGAAGGAGGAGGGGGAGGAGGATGACGATGAGGAGGAGGAGGAGGAGGAGGAGGAGGAGGAGGGCGAGGAGGAGGAGGGGGAGGAGGAGGAGGAGGAGGAGGAGGAGGAGGAGGAGGAGGAGGATTGTCACGGCTGTCGTTTAAGGCACGGGTAATGTTTTACCGCTTCGTGCCCTAACAATGGTGGCACGCCATGTTCTGGATGCAACACTTGTGAAGATGCGGCTACTACCACGCCTATGCTGTGCAACACTCGCGCCAATGCCCTCCACTGCGCGGCCTATGACCGCCCATGGCCTACACGCGGGCCCTTTGCACGGTGGCTGGTAAGCCCCCCACCCCCATGCCTGACACTGCCACCTATCCGTTCCACTTCGATCTCTCCCCCTCGCCTCCGATTTACATGGGGCATCCTCCAATGCGCGGGGACTGCGTGTCCCATAACAGGGGCTGTGCGTCCCATTTGCCAGGACTGTGTGTCCCATAATCGAGACTGCGCGTCCCAGTTGCCAGGACTGCGTGTCCCATAACAGGGACTGTGCGTCCCATTTGCCAGGACTGCGTGTCCCATAACGGAGACTGTGCGTCCCAGTTGCCAGGACTGTGTGTCCCATAATCGAGACTGCGCGCCCCATTTGCCAGGAATGTGTGTCCCATAGCAGGGACTGCGCGTCCCATTTGCCAGGACTGCGTGTCCCATAACAGGGACTGTGCGTCCCATTTGCCAGGGCTGTGTGTCCCATAATCGAGACTGCGCGTCCCAATTGCCAGGAATGTGTGTCCCATAGCAGGGACTGCGCGTCCCATTTGCCAGGACTGCGTGTCCCATAGCAGGGACTGTGCGTCCCATTTGCCAGGACTGTGTGTCCCATAATCGAGATTGCGCGTTCATTTGCCAGGAATGTGTGTCCCATAGCAGGGACTGCGCGTCCCATTTGCCAGGACTGCGTGTCCCATAACAGGGACTGTGCGTCCCATTTGCCAGGACTTTGTGCCCCATAATCGAGACTGCGCGTCCCATTTGCCAGGAATGTGTGTCCCACAGCAGTGGCTGCGCGTCCCATTTGCCAGGACTGCGTGTCCCATAACAGGGACTGTGCGTCCCATTTGCCAGGACGGTGTGTCCCATAATCGAGACTGCGCGTCCCAATTGCCAGGGATGTGTGTCCCATGGCAGGGACTGCGCGTCCCAGTTGCCAGGACTGCGCGTCCCATGACAGGGACTGTGCGTCCCATTTGCCAGGACTGTGTGTCCCATAATCGAGACTGCGCGCCCCATTTGCGAGGAATGTGTGTCCCATAGCAGGGGCGGCGCGTCCCATTTGCCAGGACTGCGTGTCCCATAACAGGGACTGTGCGTCCCATTTGCCAGGACTTTGTGCCCCATAATCGGGACTGCGCGTCCCATTTGCTAGGACTGTGTGCCCCATAGCAGGGACTGCTCGTCACATTTGCCAGGACTGCGTGTCCCATAACAGGGACTGTGCGTCCCATGTGCCAGGACCGTGTGTCCCATAATCGAGACTGCGCGTCCCATTTGCTAGGAATGTGTGTCCCATAGCAGGGACTGCTCGTCCCATTTGCCAGGGCTGCGTGTCCCATAACAGGGACTGCGCGTCCCATGTGCCAGGACTGTGTGTCCCATAATCGAGATTGCGCGTCCCATTCGCCAGGAATGTGTGTCCCATAGCAGGGACTGCGCGTTCCATTTGCCAGGACTGCGTGTCCCATAACAGGGACTGTGCGTCCCATTTGCCAGGACTGTGTGTCCCATAATCGAGACTGCGCGTCCCAATTGCCAGGGATGTGTGCCCCATAGCAGGGACTGCGCGTCCCATTTGCCAGGACTGCGTGTCCCATAACAGGGGCTGTGCGTCCCATTTGCCAGGACTGTGTGTCCCATAATCGAGACTGCGCGTCCCATTTAATTAATCAGGGCTGCGTGTCCCATAGCCCATAGTTGGGACTGCGTGTGCCATGCGCCTGCCCTCTGGGAGGACCGCCCCATCGGCCATAGGCCATGGGGCATAAAGGGCTGGAAGGCTGGAATGCGGGTCGCATAGCATCACATCGCAACCGCATCGCATTGTGCTTTGGTATCAATTATGGCTTGCGCACGAACAACATGGCAAGTACTGCGCCTACCTTACTACTCTCCTCTGTGTCAAATGGGAACTACTACTATGCCGTACCCCGACCGCTATTACTCGGATACTATGTAATCTACCTACGGATGCCTACCAGGCGAGACACGGCCCACGACTGTGAAGCCCACTATATGGAATGCGCCATCGTCCTCCTTCTGGAGGGGGGCCGCTCCACGACTGTGAAGCCCGCTTAACTATCCTACTCTCATCCTCCCTCAACAGGAGGGCCGCCCCACGACTGTGAAGCCTTATTATCGCCAAACTCTTACCTTTGCCCTTCGCTGTCACTTGTCCCCCCACCACTAAGTGGCAATTCATCCCTTCCCCCCAGACTTTGAAGCTTGCCCACCCCCCTCTCACAATGAGAGGCAGGCGAGCAACGCCCCACGACCTTGCCCTTTTAACAACCCCACTCTCATCCTCCCTCAACTGGAGGGCCGCCCCACGACTGTGAAGCCCTAACATTGCCCTCGCTTATCCCTTTACCTTTACGGTCACGTGTAACCCCGCGACTAGATAGCAATACCTACTCGGCAAACCCCTCCCCTACTACCATTTGACAGGCTGCCCCACGACTGTGAAGCACTGCTATCCCCTTGAAAGCTACCCACCTATTATGGGAGCGGCCGCGGGGGCGAACCTTCCAATACTAAAATTCGACACCTACTGCTACAAGAAGGGCCCCACGACTGTGGGGCACCACTAACCCGGACTGCGCCGTGGCCGCCTCTCTGGTGGGCGATGGCCTGCCCCACGACTGTGAAGCCCCCTAAAGCGCCAGCCCAGGCCCCAGGGCCGCCCCACGACTGTGAAGCCTCAGGGCCGCCCCAAGACTAATATGAACAATGCAAGGCGAACCTTGTTGTCCCGGCTCGCCGGGCTCCTTAATCTTCCCCCCCCCACGTCCACTAAGTAGTCCTGTCGGCACTAGCAGATTCCAAGTCTATGAAGGGTGCTGCGTTAAATTGGGGTGCCAAGGGGGCCACGCTCCCAGCCCCTTAGTCCGAGGGGTCTGGGCCCTTCTGCCCCCTACAAGTGTGAACCCTACATGATGCATACGGTCTCCGTTGCTTCTCTACCCCCCTGGCGTGGCTGGGGACAGGCATTCGCCCCAGCCCACGCTCTGATTCTAGCCCTTCCCTAACCCCCTCAGGCGGTTACTCCTTGTGCTGGGAGGGCACTTGAACGTGCCTCTTGCCACTGTCGCCCCGCTGTTCACTCCCCTGGGGGCTCTGCTGGGGTGCTCGTCGGGCGTGGGGAATCCACGCCTTTAGTGGCGCCCCGTGCGTCCCCAGCCGACTCCCCCAGAGGAGTATAGAAGAGCATTGGCACGGGGAGGAGGAGGAGGAGGAGGAGGAGGAGGAGGAGGAGGAGGAGGAGGAGGAGGATGAGGAGGAGGAGAGGAGGAGGAGGAGAGGAGGAGGGAGGAGGAGGAGGAGGAGGAGGAGGAGGAGGAGGAGGAGGAGGAGGAGAGGAGGGAGGAGGAGGAGGAGGAGGAGGAGGAGGAGGAGGAGGAGGAGGAGGAGGAGGAGGAGGAGGAGGAGGGAGGAGGAGGAGGAAGGAGGAGGGGAGGCGGAGGAGGAAGGAGGAGGAGGAGGAGGAGGAGGAGGAGGGGAGGAGGAGGAGGAGGAGGAGCGGAGGAGGGAGGAGGAGGAGGAGGAGGAGGAGGAGGAGGAGGAGGAGGAGGAGGAGGAGGAGGAGGAGGAGGAGGAGGAGGAGGAGAGGAGGAGGAGGAGGAGGAGGAAGAGGAGGAGGCAGAGGAGGGGAGGAGGAGGTGGATGGAGGACAAGGAGAGGAGGAGGAGGCGGAGGAGGAGGAGGAGGAGGCGGACGGAGAAGGAGGAGGAGGAGGAGGAGGAGAGGAGGAGGAGGAGGAGGAGGAGGATGATGAGGCGGAGGTTGTGGAGGTGGATGAGGGAGGCGGCGGGACGAGGCAGCAGGAGGCAGAGGAGGAGGCGGACCTGGACCCCCAGGGATGGGTCAAGGGCTCCTGGGGGCGGTCTGGGCGCGAGGCCAAGCCCTGCATGCAGGCGCTGAAGGACTTGAACCGCCAGGACCCGCTCGCCGCGCGCGACCGGGGGGGGATGCACCTGTGGGTGCGCACGTGCGCGCGCCTGTGCTCTCACGCCAGTGGTGACGCCCTGACGTCTGATGTTGCGAGCAGGCTGCGGTGGGGGCGTTGGTTAAGGCATGTGCCTCGGAGGCTTGAAAACCTGGAGGGTTCCTTACCTGATGAGGGCGGCGGTGATGTCCCTGACCACGACCCCCCACATTTCTGCGGCACTCCTCGTGCCCGAGCGAGCTGTGGTGGTCCTGGGGCCCGCAACTGGGCGACCACTGCAAAGCCCAGCGTGAAAGGGTTGCAGCCCCCGGATCTCAGGGGCGCGCGCGCGCGTGCGGAAACGCGAGCAGAGGCGCGCGGTGACGATGGGGGGGCCGCGCACCGCGGCGGCCACGCGCTGAGGGCGGCAGGGTGAGGGGGCGGGGGGCTTCTCAGAAGCGCCCGCTGCTCCTTCGGGGGCGCGGGCCCCGGCTGCTGTGCAGCTGCAGGGCCGGCGCCCGCTCAGGAGCGGCCTCCTGAAGAACCCTCCCCCCTCCCCTGGAGGAGGAGGAGGAAGGGGAGGAGGAGGAGGAGGAGGAGGAGGAGGAGGAGGAGGAGGAGGAGGAGGAGGAGGAGGAGGAGGAGGAGGGAGGAGGAGAGGAGGAGGAGGAGGAGGAGGAGGAGGAGAGGAGGGAGGAGGAGGAGGAGGAGGGACGGAGGAGGAGGAGGACTGCCCCTGCCCGCCCCGACCCGCTGTCGCCTCCCACCGTGTCCGGCCCCCGCCCCCCCTCCCCCCGTGGGCGCACGTCCTCGGGCGGCTGCCCCCGCGCGGCCCCTGCGCGGCTCGGCGCGGACCTGCGCGGCGTCGGCCGGCGGCGGCGCGAGCGGCGCGCTTGGGCGCGCTTGGCGCCGACTCCTCCTTCTCCTTCTCCTCTCCACACCCTCCTCCTCCCTTCCTCCGTCCCCTCCTCCTCCTCCTCCACCTCCGCTCCTCCTCCTCCTCCTCCTCCTTGTCCGTAGCCATTTTGGCTCAAGCCATTTTGGCTCAAGTAAAACATTTCCCAAGGCAGCTGGCCGTTCAGCTCCGTTCCATTCCATAACTCACAGGACCGTGAGAGCTGCCCAGCCCACGGCTCCGCTCCATATTCGCAAGACGAAGCTCTCCTTCGCACAATTACTAATTCAACTAATTCGATTGCAGGTATCTGGATTGGCTCTTCTCTCGCTTGGCATCGGGCAGGCAATACGTGGCATTGTACTGTACAACGCTTCCGAATGGACTCCGCCTCCGCTTCTTCTCGCAGTGACTCCAAGAGCAGAAGTCAGGCCAGTGGACACCGTCGGGATCGCCGCAGACAATCAGAAAGGCACGACAGGAATAGAGACCGAGACCGTGATCGACATCGCCGACGTGATAGGGATCGACGCCAACGCACTTCTTCATCTGAAGGTTCACGCCCTCCGCACAAAGGACACAGTGGACGCTCTAAAGGCCCTCTCGAACGTGAAGCAAACGGCGCCCCTCGTGGATTTCATTCAGCAGCCACACAAGACGCATGGCAACGAGCAGCACTGGAAGAACTCGATGCAGCACCTACTTTCCCCTCTCAAGAACAAGCTCACTGGCAAGCCCATCAACACGCACAGCGAGAACGACAAGCACGTGAACACCATGAGGCTCAAGCCGCACGCGACGCCCACGAAGCCGCACAGCCTCCCGCCGCACAGCTTCCTGCCGCTTCAGCTCATGCAGCAGAAGGCACCGCCACGCCAGCAGGCGGACTGTGGCCTCAATCAACATTGGACCCAGACATTCAGCACGAGCCCAAGCAGATCATGGCATCGCAAGTGGCAGCAATCAATACCGCAGTTGGAGAAACAGTATCCGCCTCGCAAGCGCAGTTCACTGCCGCTCTACAGCGACACGAAGCAGCTACCACTCGCAGATTGGATGGGCAAGAACAAGACCTCATGGCCATCAAGATCGCTCAAGCCAAACAAGAATCACAACATCAGGAAGTCTGGAGTGCCATCCAGCGTATCAATCTGCAGCTCAGCCTGGGCGAAGCCGACGCTCCCATCCTGGACATGGCCAAGCTCTCAGACTGGGATCGCGAACCCGATCCCGCCATCTACATTCTCTCCTCCGCGCAGCCCGTCGACGCTGCCGCAGTGCGCACGTCCATCACAGAATGGTTGGATGCAGCAGAAGTGGCCCCGCAGCAGTTTCAGATTCACGGCGAAGGACCCAATCGGCGCTTCATACTTCAGCTTTTGGGCGGCCGATCTGTCGCCATTCCCAAATCCATTGCGCTCGCTCGTGCCCTTCAGCTTCCAGGACGAGGAGGTTACAGAAAGTTCACAGTTCAGACCCCCGCCAACTGCGTCATCAATCACGGCCAGTACGTCCCGCTCTACGTCAACCCCGATAAGAACATCAAGCGCATCAGAATGGAAACTCAAACTAAAAAGCTACTCGCTCTCTGTCAGACCCACTACCCCACGCACAATTGGCGTGCGCGTCGCGATCAAGGACGTATTTTCTGCAATACCATCCCCACCGCCAAACTGGAGCTCACTGGCATGGACGCGGCAACGGTCATTCGTTGGAATCAAGATGCGCTGGCCAAGGTTCCTATCAACAATGCCACCATCGCTGCATGATTTGCCGCTCTCTACAAAGCAGAGGACACAGTACAATGGCTTTAACAAACGCCGGTCTCCATGGAGAACTACGACCACAGACGGAGACCATGCTAGACCTCCTGGACCTGAAGCACCGCGAGGACATCGGCCTCATCCTCTACAGCACCTTCGGCCAGCACCTGTCCCCCAGCATCCTTGCCCTGAAGCTGCGCGCGCCCCTCTTCATCCCGAATGTGCTCCACGGGAACCCAGCCCAGATCTTCAGCATCATAGAGCGCCAGCTGATCTACGTGCACTGCGACGACAGGCACACGGGGATTGGGACGTCCCTGTTGCCCCCAAGGGACGGGGGAGCCCTCCAGATGTTATTTCAGATCTCTCGGGCCTGGAGTGCCCGTCAGATTCGCTTCATCCGCAACGTGATCTGCCCCATTCAGCGCAAGCGCTACTTCTTCCCGAACAAGATCACATTCTCAAAATAGATAAGACGCAGAATGGCACGGCTTCAACTTTCAGCTCATCTTCGGCATATACATCATCGTCCTCTACCAGCGCTTCTTCATCCTTGTCGGACTCCAACTCATCATTCAACAACCGTCGGTCTCGCGCTACTCGTACACGTACACGACCTTCTACAGCGGATACAGCAGGCAGCTACATCTGTTGGAACGCTCGCGGTCTACTCTGTCATGATGATGCCAAGCGATGGGGGAAGATACGGCAGCTCGTCCCTTTCATGCGCAAGCAGTCGCTCATCGCTCTTCAAGAGGTGCACAGCACACAGCTCGATCTCGAATCACACCTTGGCAAACTTCCTTACGACTATCAGGTCTTCTTCAGCGGCTTCCCTCACAACCGCGGCAAGGGGGGCATCGCCTTCTTAGTACCGACGCCTTCGATGACGACGACTTCTACCTCGCTTTGGCCAGTGATACGCGGGAGGGTTGCTGTCCTCCATGTGGCCAACCACACCACAGGCTTCGAAACGCTTATCATGAATGTGCACAATCACGACCTGCCGGCTACGGATATGGATAGAGTGACGGAAGCGCGGCATGCTTCCCGACAGTGGGCAGCGCAGAACCCACAACAGCGGTTATTCATTGCCATGGGCGATTTCAACACCAGCGCGGTCCCCTCCTTTAACTTCAAAGATCCATCTGCACGTTGGCGGCCGATGGCTCCTGACGGACAGTATCAGCGCGAACAAGCTCGCTGGCGTCAACTGTTTGCCTCGCTCACGGAGGTTGCGCACGACCTGCCCGCGCACTTCTCGGCCAACACACAAGCAGCCACTGCCATTGACCGCATCTTCGTGTCGCTGTCGGGCATCGATCTCATGAACGTCGACGCTCACCTCAAGATCCACAAAGACGGTGCTGCCTTATCACATAAAGGCCTCAGTGACCACGCGATCCTGCACCTGCTGCTGGCCAACGCATCGGCGACGCAGAAGGAGGAACAGGCCATCGATCCGCTCATCTTTCACGACCCCACGTACCAGCGCCACTTCAACTTCCTGAAGGACAACGTCGCCTCGGCAGCTCTCACGCCAACTGGTGCCTGGAAGCAGCGCAAGCTCATCATCAAAGAAGCGGCTCGCCTCACTCGTAATCTTCAACAGCGAGCCTCTCTACATGATCAAAGCCGCTGGGCGAAGCATGGGGGGCTTACTTCACTACGTGCTATTGCTCGGACGGTTTGGCGAAAAGACTCAAACGCGGCAGCGCTCCTCATGGCCGCGACGGACATTGGCGCCGCTCACCTACGCCTTACCGACAACGGGCCCGAGCTCATCAACAGAGACGGGTACATCAAACTCATGGATGCAGCTGTTACTGCTGACTACGACAGACGCGTCGCCATCGCCGCGAAGCGCCAGCTCCAGTCCCACGCCGAGATGCAGATGGACCAGGCCGGCAGCCGCAAGGCCGCGATGCAGCTCATGCGCCGGGCGCAGGCTTGGAACCCATTTCGTCGTCGCCTCGTGCTTTCAGGACTTAGGATACCAAAAGAGGGGACACCCACCAATGCCCTCCCCACCACCAGCTCACCAGAAGGCATTTTCGGAGGTCTTCAGAAGTTCTGGCAGCCCATCTTCTCGAGCAAGACCGTGGACCCCTACGCGGTCCAGTCGCACTTGACCCAGCACCTCCCCGTCTTCGATTGCGCGGACCTGCGGGTTCCAGCTCTTCAGGACTTTCAGAGAGCCCTTCGCAGGGTACGTCACACTGCCCCAGGCCCTGACCAGATACCTTATGCTGCATGGGCTACTTCTTCAGGCTCCTCCCAGATCTTATATGACCTCATGATGCAGATGTTCGAAACAGGCCTGGCCCCGTTTCAGTTCAACGATTCCGTCTTCGC